CTGCTTAGTTATGTCGGTTGTACTCGCAATCAGTTAATCGAATGTAGCCAAGTAAACAAGAATAAAATATGTATTAATTAATTTATGTATTTTGTGTATTTTGTGAATTAATGAATATAAATTTTATTTTATTCCTTAAATAATACAAACTAGATTCAATAGTTTTGAAGTCAAGAATTTACTTAAAATTACATACATAAATTGTATGTACGAAATGTACGAATTGTTGTACGAACAATATTAGTTTGTACTTGGGTGGCGTATTATAATTTACTGATTTACTCCAGCAGTCAATACATAGGTAACAAAACGCATTCTGTATAATATTGTTATATGTATATGGGGACTAGAAAGTTAATATTATAATATATTGTACCAATATGTATGGAGTATTTATATTACATATTAGACATTGTAGATTATATTAATGTTAATTAATATTGTAAAATGATATAAATAATTATTTTATAATAAAAAAAAATTGTATACAGGCAGATTTTATTTTTATACGTTGCTGGGTAGTTTCAATTTTTCCCCTTATATCTATATAAACTAATATTCATAATGAAACTGCGTATCATACTAAAAGTATACTAGTCATTAATAGGTAATACAATAAGATACTTACCTATTTTATATTCTGTTATAGAGAAACTAAATATTTTTAGACTGATGGTTGTTAGACAATTATATATTTTATGAACCAAGTTAAGTTATGTATTTATTTTGCCTAAACAAAGATTCTCTATAAAGCCTATTATACGTTCAAAAGTTTAAACCGCTTTGGTATAATGTGATGTCGTACCTAAAATGTTGTGCACATATTATAACAAGCTGATATTTACATTATAGATGACCACGTTTATTGAGGGGCTTGAAATGTTTTCAAAAGGCTAAGCCCTCATGTCGTGTACCTATTTCATTGAATTCAAAATAATCCCATTTTTGATTTATTGATAAATTAATTTTTTTTTAAATCATAAAGGCGAGTTTTAAACATTTATATTGAAATAAAAAATAATATATATATATTTTTAATTATACTAATATATGATATCCTTAAGTTTAAAATGCTTTAAACACCAATTACTATAATTTGCACTCACATAATTTATTATTAGTAGCTAATTGTGTAAATATTGATGTAGTGGTATATGGTTAATTTATTTTAATATTTTCAATTGAATATTTAATTCTATATCAGCATTATAATTGTTTAAACAATATCTGTTACAAAGTTCAATGATTACAAGGAACCAATGACATTTATTACGCGTAACGGCGTAAACCGTTTCTCGTTCTTCGGTATATAGTAGGATAACGAGGTACCTGTACATAAACACATATAATGTTTACATTGAATGCTCCTTCAACTACAATCGTACTGATTTTGTACACAAATTAAACGTTCTTATTTATTTGTGTACAAACATGAAATAATTATACATTTTAGTAGCTACAGTATGCAGAAGTATATTTCAAATGTACTTACTTTAAATGTTGAATAGCTTGCTATTATACATTATATTATACTATAGGTAACCTACCCATGTATAAAAAAAGCCAATTCAATTTGATTTTGATTTTTAAAATTTCTGAATTTTTTCTGGTACAATTATAATTATAACAATTGTTATCTTATAATTACTTTTATTATTTATTTGAGTGTTCTTTAAATTTCTTGGTAAATAGTTTTAATTAAATTTCGTATACCGCTGACTTTAGAAAGAAATCATTAGATGAAAGTTAAGCCCGACATTTTACATCCTTAGCGGTCGTCAGCGATGCCACAAAAACATGTAGGAACTATTTAAACCTATATTAATTATAATTATAATATAAGAATATAAGATACATCAATACATCATACATGACAGTATCGCACAGATGTAATTGATTAATTTTAATTGGTTTTATGTATATTAATAAAAGTTTGTTTATACATATTCAAGCATCACTATAGGTATAAGTTTTAATATTGTTATAGAGTAGACCAAATAGAACTAAGGTTAATATATTATAAATAATCATAATTCATTAAATATTATAGGAAAAAAAATATGGATTATAACAAAAATGAATAGTTATCACATAGTTAATTCCTTACATTTTTCAATTATTTTTACTACACCATAGTATTTTATAAAACGGATAACATAAAGTTTATTTCTATTTTGTCCTTTATAAACGGCTTTATAGTGCGCCAATTCTATGTGCTTATAGACAATTACTCTGGAAATTGCAATTGATGTGGTTTAGAACCTGATATCCAGCATCAATAAAAAATATACATCTTGCATTTGAGAAATCGAAATGATCACTTATTAAACAATATTTCCTTAAGATTTTACTTTTATCTATAATTCCATCCAATATTGTTTTATTTGTATGAAAAGTATCACTCCGGATTCTATATTATTTTCATAATATAGAAATAAAAAATTGAATAATAATAAATAAAACGAAATAGTTTTTTTTGTAATTATTTATATTTTTGTATTATGTTTACATAATATTATGCATACTATGTCTACCCAAGAGTTAACAATGTTACCATGTTCCCCGACATATCCTTAATAATATGGTGCATAATTTATAGTATTAGTATACAATATCATACGGTATGAGTTTTTTTATTCAGAGTAAATTTATCTTCGAAGCACTGACATTTTACAATATCAAGAATAACAAAAATATAAATATAAATATTTTTTTCGGTAGACATTGGCAGTTGTAGTAGGAAGTTTATGCATTAAAAAGCATGAAATTCCCAACTATCATTGTTTGATTTATAATTCAAAGAAATCAACATTTTAAAATATTCTTGTGTTTCCAGTAAATGTAGTGTAAAATACGTTACTTGAAAAACTATAAATTTAACTATACCATATCATTTCATCTTTGTACCTACCTATGTAATAATTAATTTCAAATTTGTAATACCATTAGTTTAATGCAAAATGTAGCCCCATATGGTCATATAAAATATTAACATAACCACATCCGTTTTCCTAATAATTGATTATTATATAGTTAAGTTTAAAAACGTTTAAGTTTAATCAAAGTTATTATAAAAAGTGTTCATCAATATTGGAAAACATATGATTGACTCTCATTGACTAAAAGTATGCATTTTAAATATAAGCTTATGCGCAAGTTTCGGTATTTGGTTCCAGTATATTTATTTATCATTTTCACTTCGGAAATTTTTGTTTTCATGAATGATGTGGCATGAGACTAATTGTTACTACAAAAATATTTAACGCATTTATGCATTTAAAAAATGTAGATAATATTATTTGAATAATAAAAAATTATTAAACATTTTAATATAATATAAATAACAAGTCAAACGCAACAGTAGCATTATCTTTATATATATATATATATCTTCTGTCCGTGTGTATGCCCCTGAACTCCTCCTAAATGGCCGGCTTATAATGATATTTTTTTGTGCGTGTTTGAGTGGGTCCCTGGATGCTTTAGATTTACAATTGGACCCGACAGGTAAAACCCGGAAAGGTGCTCACACGAGGATTTTGAGATTTACGTTGGAAATCGAAAAATATTTTTTTGTTATACATAAGTCTGGTATTAAATGGTTGCCATTGGATACATATTACAGATTATAATAGTGATAAGATAAATTATTAGTAGAAATTAACATTTTTGGTAGGTATATAAATGGTTTCCAGTGGTTCCTGAGATAAAAGCATGCATCAAATCGTCGTGTTTTATGTTTGTAGGTTATTTAAGTACTCAAAAACTACTTAACCGATTTTGTGAAAATTCTGAGTTGTTTTTGGAGATATGGAGAAAGTTTAGTGGGTTGTTTGAAGTTTGAACCACATTAAATTTATACCAAGTTCCACCACATTCGAATTGTCAATTTTGGTCAAATTAGATAACAAAGTTAGGTAGGTACACTGACCCAATTTTGTCCATGGACTGAAGTAGCTACACCAATACCATGATATACCTACGTATATCTAATATATAAAATTCTCGTGTCACAGTTTTCGTTGCCATACTCCTCCGAAATGGCCAGACAGATTTTTATAAAATTTTTTGTGCATATTCAGGAGGTATGAGAATCGGCTAACATCTATCTTTCATACCCCTAAATGATAAGGGTTGTCCAGAAAAAAATAATAGAAGTGCTCAAACAGGGATTTTAATAATTTACGGTAGAAATATTTGTTTATAAATGGTTGCTATTGGTAAATAATCTAATATATAAAAAATAAATAAAAAATAAAATAATAATAGTGTATTATATATTGGTTGCTATTGGTTAATCGGGCTTGTTTCTTGATTAGTATTATTATTTTTATCAATATATAATACACTATTATTATTTTATTTTTTATTTATTTTTTATATATTAGATTATTTATAATTTATAAAAAATGAAAAACTTTAGCACGGACAACTTCAGGTGGGACAGCTAGTATTTTATAAATTATAACTAGACCTATGCATTTTAAAACGTCGAAGAACCATCGAATTAAAAAAATAAAAATAAAACTCAATTTACTGTAAAATGTGTGGATTTTTCAAGTTTAAAGTTCTTGCATAAAAACATACGATTTTTATATATTCAGACTATACGTATTGAAGAAAACCATATAATATATTATATTCACATAATATTATGTAGAATCTATGAATGCACAATTTACAAATAATTTAAATAATATGTAAGTTGTTATGTTTATTAAAAAAAATATAACATTTTAATGTTGATTGCTTTTTGTGGTTTATGTATATAATACCTAGGTACAATAATATACAATAAATTTAGATGAAGCTAATGGCTAAAACCTAAATAATCGAGTAGATCCAGCTATAGTAAATTTGTCTACTTAAATATAAATAGTGTAAATAACTGCTAAGTTAAGTCTTACAACATAATTGTGTTACCATGTTTAATAATTCATAAAAAATAAATTTGTTTTTGTGTTATAGTTTATCTTCGATATTAACAAAGAAATACTGATATGCAGACAATCGGTAAAGCAGATAACAAAATGGATTTTCCTTTGAATTGGACTGATGTATTATTAAAATCAATATCAGGTAAGACAAACTATACTATAGATGTAAAAATAGGAACTAAACGCATTGCAACAAACCAAGATCTAAGAGATAATACAAAAAAACGACGTAAACAATCAAATCCTACAAGGATATCTTCTAATGAAGAAAATGCAAAAAATGGAAGCGACAGAACAATATTATTTTGTAACAGAAGTAAACCCGAACTGAATAACAGTAAAGAAGAGACAGATTTCAAATTAACTTGTCCCCAATATCCTTCGGCTTCTTTACCACTGAATCTGACTATATCTGAAAACCAAAAACTTTCACCAAATGAAGTACAAAAAATGCACTTTTCTAACGACGTACAACTGCAAAATGACTCATTTACTGAAATCTCCAATAACCTAAGTTCTTCTTATCAAACTTTCATAAAAGAAATGCCATATATTGATAATAAAGACAACTATTCGATTGAATCTTCAACTTGTATGATGTCTTTTTCTAAACAGCAACCATGCACCTCAACCACAAATGTTGGGCCGACTTCTGTTCAAATATTCAATCCAGAAGCCTTTTGTGATCAATGTAACAAAGAATTTTGTAACAAATATTTTTTAAAAACGCACAAGGCTAATAAGCATGGTGTTTTCAGTGACAGCCATTCAAACAGTTCCAGCTTAGATCAGTTGGATAAAATTAAAATATCAACATTACCCACGACTTGCGATTTTTCTTCAAACATTAATGATAATTATATTGGCGCTTCAACATCATCATTGTTTAAAAGTCCTGTATTGTTTTCCCAGTCATCTGTAAATTCAAACACATGTGTATCAAAAAATATATTTAATAATCAAACACGGGCGTTTTGCAGTATATGCCAGAAAGAATTTTGTAACAAATATTTCGTTAGGAGACATAAAGCTAAAATTCATGGAATAACCGACGATGGAGACTACAAGATAAATGATGACGTCTCTTTAAACTTTAAAACAAATGTACAGATAAAAAATGAATTTTTAGATTTTGGAGTTACTGATTCATGTGATAAAGATGTCGAAACAGTATCACCTTCTCTTTATGCCAATAAATCCATATCTGAAATTACGAAAAAACATGATCAATTATTCTTAAAAGGTACTCAACCATTAGTGGATAATGAAGAAGAACTTGTTATGAAATATACTGCAGTTGAAACCCCACATAATAACATAAAAGTTGAGAATACAGATGATGAGCAAAATGTGAACTACGTCAATAAATTAAAAAATAAATTGTGTAATGTAAACGAACTTCAAAGTAGTGAACTTACAAGTAATTTAAGTCATATCATAAGTACACATAATGAAAAGGCAGTTATTCAAAATGATTTTTCAAAAGTGAACGCTAAAGGTATGAATCAGCAGCATACTGAATTTAAGACTAATACAAATACCCCAAATAACTTGATGACAAATAATAGTGTAAATGGTATTTCGGATATCAACAATATTGGTCAAAAAATTAACATCTTAAATAATTACCTTCCAGCTACCATAACAATTGTTGAAAATACAAATAAAATTGATAAAAATATTGAAACAGATGAATCTAAAATTGAGTTGATGAGCAAAAGCAAGTTACTTACATTACACAATTTGTTTTTTAAATTTAATGGAAATTCGTTAGAGAATATGTCAACATGTTATGTATGTAACATGCAAATTAATGGATCATTAAAAGCGCATATTTTCAATGAACATGAAAATATCGTTCATGAACTTATGAGTGAAACTTTAGAGTCTAATGAAAATGTACGCATTGAACACTCTTGTCATGAATGCCATCAAATATTTAATTCTGATGCATTGTTAAAAGAACATGTCGAACAAGGCGAGTGTAACATAAAAGAAATGGGTAGGACGTCGGCTAGTAGTAAAAATTCCGCAGAAAACGAGGAATACATTAATCATCATACCAAAGACTTGGGTGAAAGAAAGCAGACAATGTTAAGTAGTTTTTGCAAAATATGTAACAAAGAATTGTGTAATAAGTATTTCATGAAAACTCATATGCAACGGATGCACGGTATATCGATTCAAAATGGCAATCATATTGGGGGAGTAGTGTGTGATATATGTAACAAAGAACTTTGCAGTAAATATTTTCTACGAGTACACAAACAGAACTCACATGGTATTGTTGAAAATGGATCTTGCCAAAAATATTGGACGGATTCGATGACTGAGAATGGACAACTGTCGGATGAACCTGATAATGGTCATAGATATTACAAGCACTATACAGAAGTGTGCAATATATGTCTTAGACGATTCAGAAGTTCGAAGTGGTTGAGTGCTCATTTATTGAACGATCATGGCTCTGAGGGAAAAACCCAATGGAAGCACATACAGAATCACATGGAAGAAGAAAAACAAAACATGCAATCTACCAGCGAGTTGAACCAGAGTTTAAAAGCAACTGAAAGTCCGAAACAAAATCCAGTCGAGGAACAAAATATAATATGCGATGAGATGAAACAGTATCGTTGTTCCTACTGTTCGTTTACCACGTCTATTTTGTCGTTTCTTTTCGTACACGAAAAATTTCATCTCACTGATAATAAAACCACGAAGGACATGCCGTTAACATGTCCCACCTGCAGTGTGGCGTTTCAAAACAAGACACAGTTGGAAAATCATTTTACACATTGTCATTTCAACTCCGATGCTGGGAATTCACCCGTTCCGTACGCTAATTTACATTCACCCGACAACACGCACGTACCACTCAACGTCAATGAAGATTTGTCAGCAGACAAGTCGTTGGACAATAACGGAAATGACGTATTCACAGACAAACTTGGAACATCGATCAAGCCTCGTCAAACAGAAAATGTATCGCCATCTATAAGAAAAAACCACCGTATTCCTGAATCAAATCACGAGCCGTTTATAATGCAGTCGTTTTTCCTCGAAAACTGTTCAGTATCTCCGTCGGTCAAGAAGGAATTGAGTGGTCGCAGTGATTCATTTCATTCGTCTCTAGTCTACTTACCAGTCAAGGAAAAGTTAACGTCAACTGTTAATGTTTTCTTCAAGCTAACCCCAACATAGTTATTTGGATTTTTAAGGTTATATGTGTGAATTTAATATATTATATAGCTACGATTGAGCTAACTAAATTAAACATATTAAATAATATTATAGTTTGTATGGTATAGTATAATATTATAATATACATTCACAGAATTAAAATAAGACTGAACTACATATTTTATGGGTGCTGGAATGAAATTTGGTGATATTGATAATACTAAAGTTCCTAATTTAGCCTTGAATAAAATATTATGTCATAATATAACGTTGGTAGTTTTGTTTACATTCCAATTCATAAAAACTACTTCTGGAATCCATATACACCAAATTCAAAGATTTAAGCTTAATTAAAACATATTATGCAATAATATGGTGATCAAAGTTCTAAAAAATAATAATATCTAAATTTAGATTTTTAACTCTGCAGTGAGTAAAATAATATGCACTATTATAATATTATAAACACAGGGTGATTCACTATTAATACAAATGTTTGTATTTATTATAAACTATGGTAGGTACTTTTGTAAATGAATGCAATTAAAATATTTTCGTTTTGGAAACTTTCACATACACAATTAAAAACTTAACCATAGAATGAAAATTATATATCACCGGTTCATGTACCTATATAATATTTTTCAAACAACAGCCGTCAACTATCACAGTTTATTATAGATTATATCACTTAATTTTATTTTTGGATCGTTTTAAACTAATTATTTTCATGATTGTGAGTTTCATTTAATTTTGATTGATTTTGTTTTCAAAATATTGACTTTTAAAAGTAATTTTTATTTTCTATAGAAAACTATAAGCGAGGGATTTCTTGGAAATTAATAACTCAAATTTAAAACTTCATGCTTATCAAAATCTTAAGCCCCTTTTATTACAAACAAATGCATTTTAACTTCTAAAAAACAACTTAATACAATCGTAAACTTTATTTTTAACCTTTCAGTATTATATAGTGTTGTCATTGTTTTAGTTTATGATAAGTTGTAAAATATAGGTATTTTTAACAAAATATTAAATGTTATTGTTGTTTAAGTTTCCAAAAAAAAAATTAAAATACTTTCAGCTTTACAGAAATATCCCTCGTCACGTATGATAAGAATCACTCTTTAGCTTATATATAGTTTATAGAGTATATATTTATGTATTATGTACCTAGGTTTCATAAATATAACCTAATTGTTTTAACTTATTTATTATAGTTCAGTTAAGTTACCTATATTTTAAAAGCACCCATTCAAACGTAATAATGGTAATGGGTTTTTAAATCAGATAATCAAAAATTGTTTTTAAGCATTGCCTTGACAGCTAGGTCATTGGCTTGATAATCAAAATTATACATTAAACTAGTTCAATTTTATAATCAAAAAAATAATAATTTCGTTATTATGTTTTACAGTTAATATTAATTAGAGTTATCGTTATACAAGCATGATGCGCAATTGTTTATATTTTTTTTATGAATAATATTATTATTATCGCTAATAAAATATATTATATTATGTAGGTACAACAAGATCTTAAATAAAATGAGAAATCAAATAATGGTTTCATCATGATTCATGAAATTAGATGAGTAATTTTAATGTCCTCATAATTTTAATTATTAGGGCTCGGATTTATATGCTTTAAACATCTTTGAATTATTCACTATAAAATAAGCATTTATGTCTGGATTCTGCTAACATGCTTTTATAAATAAGAAAAAAATATTATTGAGTAAATTAATAAAATACAAATCAAATCTTTTTGCTATTGATGTTTATTTTATTTAAATTTTGCTAAACAGATTTATATGAATTATTACTTATAAAATTAAATTTCATATTATCTTAAATCAAAAGCAAGTGAACATTATTTGTAAAATCACCGATTGTACATTTTTAGATCACCTTAACAAAAATGAAATAAAATAACAAATACCTAACAAGGCATTATCTTTTTTTTTTTTTAATGTATAAATACTAAAGCATTGAAGTTGCATTACAAGATATTTTTTTTCTTAATTCTCGGTTTACAAATTTTTGTACCTTAAGAAACTTCTTTTCACGTCCATTTTTTTTATACAATGGCCAATGACAATATAGATAATGCACCAGTATAGATACCTATCTCAAGACTTAGCGGATCAATTTAATAACTTTTTATACGTATATATAGTATATTTCTGTATGTCCCTTTTATTATGTTGTTAGTTTATTACGATAAAATTAAGAAAAGATTATCAAATTCCAGGAATATGATATTAAATGACGATTTTATAATTTACGTTATTTTCTTTGATAGGTATGTTGTACCTAAATATACTTCAAAATGTTGCTTATGAACTAAATATACTTAAAAGCTAAAATACGATTAATATATACTTAATAACCACAAATATTATATATTATGCTTTATATAATATGCATAGAACGTAAAAAACTAGTAAAATATGCATAAATATTGCAGTATAAAATTCTACCTATAACTTCAGTTTTTCTTCAGATTAAAATTAAAATATCAATGGAATCTGCTTACTCTTTGGACTAGCTTCTAGACAAACAATATTATGCGACATAATACATATAATGCTACATATAAATCTGGGCCCTAAAAATTATAACCTACCTACTAATTACTTATATAGTTTAACGTACTTTTCTCTGTGTTTAGGTATTATGTACTGATTGTTGTTTATACGAGAATACATCAAATTACTTTTAAATATAATATATAGACTTTGATTGAATATTTAGTGAATACTATAATACATTTTAGATATACTTTATGTTAGTTTATTTGTCATGCATTTATACGACTTTTTTATTTTACAGTTTCATCCATTATTTCTAAAAGAACTTGTGTGATTACATTTACATACGATTTATAGTAAAAACAACCGTAGGTATTGACTATGTGTTATTGTTAGTAATTCCGTAAACCCAATAAAATAATTTCCAAGTATTTCTATAGCAAACTAAAATAAAATAAATTGTAGTACAGAGAATATTATTGAGTGTATTTTATATTTATTTTTGGATGACTACCTAATAAGTAATAACTATCAAAACAATACTTTTTTTTATTACCTACCAGCAATCACATTCTGTTGAGGGATATATTATTTTTATTATACTTCAAGCAATAGATACCATAAGTTTTTTTTATAAGCAACACTATAGTAGATTTTTATATCAAAGAACGACGTACTTAAGCCTTACATAAAGTTTTAATTTAGGAAAACATTTGAAGTTAGTAAATTATCATTCTTCTTGTGTTTATAAATTATTTAAGATACAACTGTACGTCTGTAGGTTGTTTATAGTTTGTTTTGATATCACAGTAATATAGTTAATTATGCCTACCCCATACACTTTAATATCGTTGGTTATCAATACAGTTAAAAATATAATATTCTCAGAATGTCTTATATAACCGTGAAAATATCATTAATTTGTTTATAAAATGTCAAATTTATTTAAATGTTAAAAAATATATTTTATATTTGTTTTCAATTTCAATCATTACGCTAATTATCATTACACATAAACTTTCGATAAAATAATTTAAAACATAGATAATACTCATTATAGGTTGTTTAAACGCCCTTAATTTTTTTCAAAAGTATTCAATCATATATTGTGAAATGCGTACTCATCCAATATGCTATCTACACGTTTGATGGTTTAGTATCTAAAAAATGACAAAACTTCATGTAATCAAATGTGTAATAAATAATGTATGGGTAAATCTCTGACTGAGAGAAGGTCGCTGTAGCTTCAACCTTCCCATATTTTGCATACTCTCCATATTGTTATATTTTAATTACATCTGATTCATTTATGAATTTTAACGAACACTCTACCCAAAATCCATAATTTCACGTATATAAACTTTGGTGAACGTAATTTGACTTTAAAACGATATTTTAAAACTAAAATTATTGCACTTACATCCAAAGTGTTATACATGTGTTACATTTTGGTCCATAACTGAACTTGTGGAATACTTTCACTTCATGTAAAGAAATAAAAAGCTCTTCAATACTTAGTGGTATACAAAATGCACTCAAGTATACTAATCCAATACTGCAGTGTAATATTTTTTATGATTATTAAAGTGCTCTTAAATATTATACATTATGATATAATTTTTAGATTTCTGTATAGATTTCGTTGTTAAAATCATTTATAAATTGTGGAAGAAAAAATTCTAAAATTGTATAATGAGTGTATATATGATAATGAATATATAATGAATATTGACGATACTATATAGTATTAAACGTAAACTATTATTCTAATCAGATTTCAACATGTAATGCGTGTATTTATGTTAAGATTATTGTATATTTATAATTTTATTGTATGTTTTATTTATATTTATAGAAATTAAAATCAAAATTATTTATTAAGATTGTACATTATTTAGTTATATTTTATGTTAAGAGCATTGGTATAATGTGTCAGTGATAATTTAATATCAAAATAATTGACCATTTAGGGTCAAATTCAAACAAAAATCAAAATTATTTCATTACCATTTTAGTTACGTTAGAATATATTTTGTATAAAAAATAATTTATATTATATTATTAATGTTGCTTTTATAAATGTACGGCATTAGCTTGAAATAATGCAAAGAGTAAATTGTATATTTTAGATCAAACAATTTATTCTATCAGCATTTTAATTTTTAATTATGTTACTTTACTTTTATATAGAATATTGATCATTTTTTAATTAGAATTGTATTTTCGTTCATTTTAAGTAGTTTTATATTTATTTTATTTTATCGATGACCTAGGAAAAATTGCGACGGAAAATTTAATAACAATACCCTGGCTTGATTAAATAGTATATTTTATTAAAGATATTCTGATATATTTAAAATTGCCTGGAACTTATTAAAAAATATATATTGTGTGACGAATATGCTTATATAAACATCTAAAAAGCATATATAAAAAATAATATAATTAAAAATGAGACGGAATGAAATGGGATTAATTATTTTTATTT